ACCTCAAGAGTTCTACAAATAATTCTAATGGTATTTTTAATTATTTCCGACGATTAAGCTGTTATCGTCAATTTTGTGATAACGTTTTGTGAAGTTAGCACCCCATACTTTCAATAATTGATTTTTTTGTCTAATTCGCCGGAACTATTTATAAATTTTATGGAGAACTCTAGAACTCTTTAGGGTGCATTCAGAACTCTAAAAAAAAATTAGATTTTTTTATAAAATGGGGTGCCAACTTCACAGAGGTTCGTGGACCACCTTCGCGGGTTAAGGAGGTCGCTCGCGGACACGCGTCGCCTCTGAACTCTCTCGCGGGGCAACGACGGCAGCGGACGCTCGGCAAAAACGGCGGCGTTGCCTATTTTCGTACGCGGAGTGCTCGCCATCGCATGAAACGGCGAACAAGCGAGTGTGAGAGAAACGAACGAACGAACGAACGAACGAGCAAGCGCGTGTTCGTTGAAAGTGAAAGGAGGTTGAATCGCTCTTGCCCGTCCACTTCTGCCTGCGCCGCCCCGCACGGCCGACATAGCCCCTTCCCCCGTGCCCCTGCCCGCCCCCGATCTCACGTACCCGCCGCGCGTAATCCCGCTCCTCTACCCGCTCCACATTGCCGCCTCCGCCACCCCGTACACACATCTCTTTCGCTCTCGCTCTCGACTCTCGCTCTCTTCTTCTCGCCCTCCCCGCTCCCCCGTCGTCCAGAGCCAGGCTCCACGACTATCGATACTGCGTGGAGTCAAGCGCGCAACGTAGCCATACCATCATCCTGCGGCACCGCGATTTCGTTTCGGCCAGCCGGGCGAAGGCGCGCCACTTGCGCGCTCCTTCAGTATTGAATATATGTATGTATGTATTTCAATAGTGCTCTCGCCATTGCTGATCCTTTTCGCGACTCTCTCTTTCTCTCTCTCTGTATCTCTCTCTTTGTCTCGCTTTGTTTCTTTCGTTCCACCCCACGGGGTGATGGCGGTCTCGTGACGTGGACCCGGGCCTTCGTGACACGGCGACGGCGAACCCGACGCGACACGGATCTAAGCGCGGATCTATGCTTTCGACCCTCGAGCTAGCCCTCCTTCGTTGAATAAGAAAACGCTAGTGAGCATAAATTGCTCTGAAGATATTGTTTTCCATCTTTATCACAGTGATCTCATTGTTTTGTAAAAGTATTTTTGCTATTTTTGTCTCGTCATCCGCGAAAGTTTGTTTTTCGACATTGCTGTCCATAAAATTGATGTTAAATATAAAACAATTGATTTGCGTAAAAAAATACTATTGTATTAAAACTGCAATGTAACTTTATTTATGCAGTCTTATAAAAATATGCCACTTTGAAATGATACACATTATATTTATAGTAATTATTATTGCAATATATATGCATAATATTATAGTGATTATTATTGCAAATACTTCTTGATACTTCGGATATTTTTCATTTGCAGTTCTATTTCATTTCCAATTAGAAAAAGATACAAAATTACTTGTTTTTTCGAGTCGACAAATTTGTCCATTCTCCTGTTACGAAAAACATTCTTAATTATTGCTTCGTCTTTAATTTCGCAAGACTGCTGTATAAGCAGTTTAAGTTGTTTTGGTCAAGATTAAATAACTTGTTATTGAGAAAAAAAAAACTGTGCTAAATATCGTTAATGAATCATAATATCGCAAAGCAGAAGTAGCAAAATTTCGATCGCAATCATTGTATTTCCACGTATTAGTGTTGATCCGATGGATTATTATGTTCTTATGAATATCGCAATGTTCTTCGTGCTGTTTATGTTACATACTTTCGAAATAACCCAATTCGCGGACTGTAGTATTGGCAAAGGCAATGTATCTCGCACGCGTGGCTTAGCAGGCGGATCACGCTGGCGCACGTGCGTGCAACGTTCTTGTTTCCCTTTCAACCTTTTACAACGTTCTTGCTTTCAAGCACAACGGTC